TACTATAACAAGTAAAAGTATAAAAATAAAACATTTCTAAACGAATAAATGCAGAAAAACTCACTCAAATAAAAATAAATAATAAAAAAAAAATTATTAATAAAACCGCACGAAACATTTTAGTATGAAAATAAAATCAAGAAAATTTAATCAAATAAAACTACACAAATTCAAATGCTCCAATTTAAATAAAAAATAGTTATGCGTACATTTGAAAAAAACATAATTTCAAAACTCCGTTTTTATAAAACAAAAATCATTTTTATTGATTTAAAAAACAAATAGATTTACAGCACTATGATGAGATGCTTTCAGTTCTAGTTCAGTTTTAGTTCAGTTCTAGTTCAGTTCTAGTTCAGTTCTAGTTCAGTTCTAGTTCAGTCCTAGTTCAGTTCTAGTTCAGTTCTAGTTCAGTTCTAGTTCAGTTCTAGTTCAGTTCTAGTTCAGTTCTAGTTCAGTTCTAGTTCAGTTCTAGTTCAGTTCTAGTTCAGTTCTAGTTCAGTTCTAGTTCAGTTCTAGTTCAGTTCTAGTTCAGTTCTAGTTCAGTTCTCAGTTCTAGTTCAGTTCTAGTCAGTTCTAGTTCAGTTCTAGTTCAGTTCTAGTTCAGTTCTAGTTCAGTTCTAGTTCAGTTCTAGTTCAGTTCTAGTTCAGTTCTAGTTCAGTTCTAGTTCAGTTCTAGTTCAGTTCTAGTTCAGTTCTAGTTCAGTTCTAGTTCAGTTCAGTTCTAGTTCAGTTCTAGTTCAGTTCTAGTTCAGTTCTAGTTCAGTTCTAGTTCAGTTCTAGTTCAGTTCTAGTTCAGTTCTAGTTCAGTTCTAGTTCAGTTCTAGTTCAGTTCTAGTTCAGTTCTAGTTCAGTTCTAGTTCAGTTCTAGTTCAGTTCTAGTTCAGTTCTAGTTCTAGTTCAGTTCTAGTTCAGTTCTAGTTCAGTTCTAGTTCAGTTCTAGTTCAGTTCTAGTTCAGTTCTAGTTCAGTTCTAGTTCAGTTCTAGTTCAGTTCTAGTTCAGTTCTAGTTCCAGTTCTAGTTCAGTTCTAGTTCAGTTCTAGTTCAGTTCTAGTTCAGTTCTAGTTCAGTTCTAGTTCAGTTCTAGTTCAGTTCTAGTTCAGTTCTAGTTCAGTTCTAGTTCAGTTCTAGTTCAGTTCTAGTTCAGTTCTAGTTCAGTTCTAGTTCAGTTCTAGTTCAGTTCTAGTTCAGTTCTAGTTCAGTTCTAGTTCAGTTCTAGTTCAGTTCTAGTTCAGTTCTAGTTCAGTTCTAGTTCAGTTCTAGTTCAGTTCTAGTTCAGTTCTAGTTCAGTTCTAGTTCAGTTCTAGTTCAGTTCTAGTTCAGTTCTAGTTCAGTTCTAGTTCAGTTCTAGTTCAGTTCTAGTTCAGTTCTAGTTCAGTTCTAGTTCAGTTCTAGTTCAGTTCTAGTTCAGTTCTAGTTCAGTTCTAGTTCAGTTCTAGTTCAGTTCTAGTTCAGTTCAATTCTAGTTCAGTTCTAGTTCAGTTCTAGTTCAGTTCTAGTTCAGTTCTAGTTCAGTTCTAGTTCAGTTCTAGTTCAGTTCTTGTTTAGTTTATTTAAATTTAATCATTTCCCTTTTTCCTTGCATAGTGTTCCACACTAAAACAAAAAATCTAAATAATAAAAACAAAGCATTTTTTTATAAAATAAAGCAAAGAAAAATAAACTTATGGTTGTATGTTATAAATAATATTTTATTAAAACATTATACTTTTGTTAGAACTTAAAAATGTAAAGAAAGTTTTAAATAAAATCAATCGTGTTAATTTCGTTTGACATATTTAAGTTTCAGAAAAATTTGTTACCAATTTCTATTTGTATTCATTTAAGTATTGTTATAAATACACATTTATTTATAAAGTAAATAAATTTTAAATTTATCTAAATAAGTAATAAAATATGTACTACAGAAAAATGTATTAAAATTTTTAAAGTTGTTTTTATTTGAAGTGAGATGAGAAAAGGCATTCCTGGTGTTAGAGCAAAACTATTGGACTACAGTTTTTTAAGTTTTTAAAAATATAAATTTGTAAAAGTTATAAATAACACCACGTATGAGTTATGTTTATTTTTTATTAAAATGTAGTTTTGTAATAATCGTATGCAATACGTGTACCAACACTGCGTATGAGTTACAAATGTATGAAAATTTTACAAATGATAAGCATACGCTATGTGTTACCTGAAGAGTAAAAATATACGCAACCAAAACAACACACATCAAAATAAGGGGACACACTAGTTGAAAGAAATTAAGTTTGTTAATTTTCAATATGTTTGCTGAGAGTTTTCCAGAGCTCGTTTAGAATTTATGTACAATATTTATAAAAAATGTTCTGTGACGTTTTTTCTTCAGTCTTTCATAGAGAAAATAACATTTTCCCAAAGAAAAACAAATGTTTGTTTTAAATTTTAGAAATGTTAATATTTAACTTTTTCCTTGATGTATTTCATTTTTTACTATTTATTATTCGGAATATTTTTTTTATATTTTTTATTTATCCGTCCATAAATAAACAAAAGAAAATCTCATAAAAGTTCCTAACTTAAACATTAATTACGCAAACAAAAAGGTACAATAATTGGTTTTTTATTAAACATTGTTATAGCAAAATAACGCCAGGAATGCCTAGATATATTTTAAACTTTTTAAGTTTAAATAAATTTTATTAAATAACCACAAAACACACTTTTAAATAAACTTTCCCCAAACCACATTATAATTTTAATACATAATTTAATTTTGCACTTAAATACCACTAGATGTTTAAAAACAAACTTAAAATTTGAACAAACAAATCATACTTCATCACCAATCTTAAATACCACTTTACCAAACCAATGTTTAAGAGTAACAAAACCAAACAAGCAACACACTTTTCAAAATTCCCTAAAACTCCTTTATGAGACGTACATAAAATTAATTTAAATAAAACAAGTATTTATATAGATCAATTTAAAACATAAAAAATGAAATTAATAAAACCAACACAACAATAATGAAAGTTACATAAATAAATAATTTATTACAATAATGATAAAACAAAACAAATAAATTAAAATAGTAAATAAATAATATTTGCGTATTGTAGGATGTAATTATATGATGATCATTTATTTGATCATAAATATTTGACTGTGTTAATTTTCATTATATAAAATTAAAAAAAAAAAAACAAAAAATTAACAAATTATTATTAAATAATAATAAAATATTCTAAATAAATAAAAAAACACAAACTTAATAATCCTGAAAGAATTAAATTAATTAAGAAATAAAATCTAGCAAAGACAAAAAATTGTCATAAAACGTTACACACAGAATTAAAAAATTAAGAAAATGAAAAAATTAAGTAAATTAATAAAGAAAAACAAATTATGATATAATTAAGTTATTTACCAAGAACAAACCAAAAAAAAAAAACAAAAAGTACGAAAAAACCAAAAAAAAATATTATAAAATTGATAACAAATCAAGTGAAAGAAAATAAAAAATGAAAACTTGTATAAAAATTTAAATGTAAAAGTTGTTTTATTTACTCGGGATAATTTGGTTACAACACTTTCAAGATATGTATATATATGTACTAGATACTCGGTTTTCGGAAATGAACTTCTAGTTTATTTCAATTCTAGTTCAACTATGGGACTATTCAGAATTTCATTACTGTCCTGCATCTAAAAATGTGATTCCGAAGTGAATTTTACACAAATGCCAAATTTACTACGCTCGCTTAAAAATTACTACTTATATAAGTACTTATAAAAAGTTCTAGTTCAATTCTACTACAGTTCAAGTTCAGTTTTAGTTCAGTTTTAGTTCAGTTCTAGTTCAGTTCTAGTTCAGTTCTAGTTCAGATCTAGTTCAGTTCTAGTTCAGTTCTAGTTCAGTTCTAGTTCTAGTTCAGTTCTAGTTCAGTTCTAGTTCAGTTCCAGTTCAGTTCTAGTTCAGTTCTAGTTCAGTTCTAGTTCAGTTCTAGTTCAGTTCTAGTTCAGTTCTAGTTCAGTTCTAGTTCAGTTCTAGTTCAGTTCTAGTTCAGTTCTAGTTCAGTTCTAGTTCAGTTCTAGTTCAGTTCTAGTTCAGTTCTAGTTCAGTTCTAGTTCAGTTCTAGTTCAGTTCTAGTTCAGTTCTAGTTCAGTTCTAGTTCAGTTCTAGTTCAGTTCTAGTTCAGTTCTAGTTCAGTTCTAGTTCAGTTCTAGTTCAGTTCTAGTTCAGTTCTAGTTCAGTTCTAGTTCAGTTCTAGTTCAGTTCTAGTTCAGTTCTCAGTTTAGTCAGTTCTAGTTCAGTTCTAGTTCAGTTCTAGTTCAGTTCTAGTTCAGTTCTAGTTCAGTTCTAGTTCAGTTCTAGTTCAGTTCTAGTTCAGTTCTAGTTCAGTTCTAGTTCAGTTCTAGTTCAGTTCTAGTTCAATTCTAGTTCAGTTCTAGTTCAGTTCTAGTTCAGTTCTAGTTCAGTTCTAGTTCAGTTCTAGTTCAGTTCTAGTTCAGTTCTAGTTCTAGTTCAGTTCTAGTTCAGTTCTAGTTCAGTTCTAGTTCAGTTCTAGTTCAGTTCTAGTTTAGTTCTAGTACTATTAATAAACCAACTGACAGGTAAGTATTATAAACTTAGAAAATTGGTTAGGTACAAAGTTTTGTATTGGCATATTACTGTGGCTCTGTTAATGTTAATTAAATAAGTGTAAACAGATAAAACGAAGTAGTCAACATTTTTAAAATAAGTTGCGCGAAAACACTGAATATAATTTATTTTTATATATTCATATATTTTATCGGTTGCATATAGGGCGGAGTGTGTTGAGAAAAGCTTAATATTAATTAAAACGAATTTAAGTCAGATTTTGATATGAAGTGTTAAAAATATAGGAGTAGGTTGGAAATACAACAGTACAAGATCTTTTTTGAAAATTTTCATTCAATGGTCCAATTGCAAATACAAGACGTGCTGCTATACTATTCTCAAAAAATTAAACACATTATTTTCATATAGTGATAATATTATGGTAGAATTTTTTGTTTTTGTTCTTTTTTTGTTTATTATTTCTGTTAATTATTATTAATAATGGAACAAAGGTTCATACATGACATATATGGCGGAAAAATATTTGACATTTTGTGTTATGTAATGTTATATTAATAATATACTTCTTATTATTAAGATATTTTATAAATAAAAACAAAATATTTTCTAGTCAAATAGAATAGAATAACATATACATACGTACAATAATTTATATATAATATTCATTCTTATATATTGAAATTTGTATATTATAAAAAACATTTAACAAATTATTACGTACAACTTACTAAACATCAGTTTAAAATAAACAAAAAATATTTATTTAGTTATTAAAGCAGTTATACATTTTCAAAACAAATAATTAATTTAAACAATAATTTTATTTATAGTTATATAATGAGACTTTTTTAAATTATCTAGAGGCCAGTTTTGTTTAAGTTAATGCATTTTAATGAAATTGCTTTTAAATTTATAAACAAATTATGTTTGTAAATGTATTTTTTTTTTTGTATTGTAGGCAATTTTAAAAACAGCTAAGTTATTAAATTGATAAATTTATTTTGGTTATTAATTTAAAGTAATATTGGCAAATTAAAGGTACTATACACATTTATGTATGTATGTGTTTTTAATATTGTTTGTATATATGTATGTATAGTATGTAGGTGTAATATGCTGTGTTTTGTTATGTAAATATTTTAATTATACTACATATATTGTTAAGTATTTAAATGTAAGCAAGGATTTGTCCCGCCTTACTGTAACAAATATTGAACTAAGTTGGCATTAAAGGATTTTCAAATGAAAAATATATATTAATTTTAGAGTTTATTTTCAGGAAATATTATATTTTAATATGGCAAACTTGTGTTTTATAATTTGTTGCGCAGTATTGTTTGCTAAATTTTGTTTCTCTTTAAACAATTGACAAGAGTTTCAAATTGTAAATGAAATTTACTGGTATTATACAAAGATGTCATTACTTATTTTCATTTCAATTTAAAGTTTGAAGAAAACAGAGAAATGTTTATACATACCGCCTTAAAATATATATTTTTCTGAGTCTGATTTAACAGCAAGGCAGTATTTTATATATGTATGTATGTACTGAATTTTGTTTCCTGTTTTTGGGTAAATTTAATTTTTTTGAGGCACTGCCACGATTGGATTAATTAGTGTGGCCATATATTTTTAATTAGTTTAGAAAATTGTATTGGGTTGGTAGTATGACATTTAACATTAAATTCAGTTTGTTCTATTTTAATTTATATATTTGTTTGTTTTAATTACTAAGCACAATTGTGAAATACATTCATATTATTTTTGCTCAATTAGTATTATTTACACTTAATTGTTTTTTTTTTAATAAATAATATTAATATTAAAAATAAAAATATAAATATATATTCTTGGTTTTTATAATTCCCTAATTTAGTATAGTTTTTGTTGTATTGTAGTATGTGTATTAATTGATTAATTTGTTTTATGTGTTAAAGTATACGTATGGTTGTGAAAAATTTACAAAATTGTGATTTTAGTGTCAGATCATTTAACATTTATTTGAAAGTAAATATAGTTAATAATAGTTAGAACTAGAACAGAACTAGAACTGAACTAGAACTGAACTAGAACTGAACTAGAACTGAACTAGAACTGAACTAGAACTGAACTAGAACTGAACTAGAACTGAACTAGAACTGAACTAGAACTGAACTAGAACTGAACTAGAACTGAACTAGAACTGAACTAGAACTGAACTGAACTACTGAACTGAACTGAACTGGAACTGAGAAGCTTCCAACATAGGAATGTTGATAATTTAGAAAATAGAAAAATTAGAAATCACCACATGACCTGGTCCCCATATATTTTTCGGAAAGAATTAACATTGTTAAATATTTAATACTGTATTGTTCATACTTTAATTCATTTAACCAGTTTTTATTTATACCCTTCATCATATCTAATGCAATCATTAGTTTTTCAGAACGAATTCCTCGCATTTACGAAAAGTGGTTATATCCCAATGTCATCGAGTGACGAGTTTTTACTTTCACAACGTTATTATTGAATAAAGTACACGAGCAGGACGGCAAGAATAGTTTTCATATCTCCAGCTAGAAGATTTTTATAATGAAGGATATATTCAATTCGACACTGCCGAATATGTTTAACTCTTACTTATTAAGACACAATTTGTGGTTAGAGAGTACATGCTTATTATTGAGTATTGAATTAGGAGATCGTTGTTATTTGTATCTTGTTGTTGCAAAATATTTTCGTTTGTTTACTTTAAATTGTATTGTGTCTGATTGCTTTTTGAAAATGGGGTTTGTGTATGTGTAATTATGTATAAATATAGTTAATACATATATAATTTTTTTTTAATAATTTATAGGTTATTTTTGGTTTTGTATTTCATTCAAATTAAGCATTCGATTCTTTAAGATTTTGTAATCTTTCCAATTGATTCGAATCCAATTCCTCGGGTATACTAGCTCTACCGCCAACCACCTGTTTGGGTGCACCGACATCAACATCTTCCTGTTTCGATTCATCCATGCTCTGTGGTCCTCCGCCTCTGCTGGCAAAGGCATCATCAAAATTTGCATCAAAATTGGCCTCAAAATTTGCCTCAAAAGCCCCACTGGCCTCTGTAGTGCCTGCAGTTGCCTTTTCATTGAATGGATCTTCAGCCTCATCTAACGGTTGTACTTCGGATGAATCTTGGTCGGAAGATGGTAAATCCTCTGGATTGGGTGTGGGCGAGGTTAGGGTTACAGTTACACTTGGTGCGTCCATAACTTGTTGCCTACCTTCAATAATTTTGCTCTGATCCGTTTGTTTGGCTTCCCCTGCTGCCACCGTCTTGGTCACGCCTTCCTCCTTTGTGGAAGCACTTGTGCCCTTAGCATTACCCTGGCTACCAGATTCCCTTGAGTCATCCTCATTACCACCTCCTCTCTCTGCTATTGGAGGGAAAGATTTATCGGATCCGTCTTCAACCATTGGGGTTGCAGCGGTTACAATAATTTGTGCCATACCTAAATTTAAATTATTTCCAGCATCCTTGGTTACCTTGGCGGCATTTGTTGTTGCATGTAAAGCCGGTGGTGGCTGTGATGGTGGTGGCATACTACTACCATCTTCGTCCATATCGTCCTGAAAGTGAGTTGAAAAATAATGTTAATTGTTAAAGGTTTCAGAAGCTGTGAGTTAATATAAAAATAAGTTTACGGCTCAGTTTTAAGAAGGCATTATGGAAAAATTACAGTTTTGGATTGAACAGTCAGAATAATGAAATCTCTCTTGTTTTTAAAAACACAAGATCTTACACCGATATTGTAGAACTCAAAATAGTTAAAATTTAAGGATAATTTAAATGAATTACCTCATCTCCTGGTTCTTGTATAAGGACTGCATGTAAGCAATAAATAAAATTGAGAAAATGTATTAATTAAAATACAATTTGCTATAAATTGTTTTCATATAATCGTTTAATATATAATTAAATAAATATTTAGTAATATTAATTTTAAGTGTTTGGGGGTTACAATTAGTACGATTCACTAATATTACTTGGAAACTAAAAGGAAATAAAAAAGAAACTAATTCTTTACATTGTGTGGGGTAAACATGCCTTGGTAACGTGCTTCATAGAATTAGAGAAAAATAAACGTAGAAATCGTGGGAAAATATAAATATTTCTTAAACGTATAGAATTTCTTAAAAGTTTCAGGGATATAGATATAAACGAAAAACTTTTAATTTAATAATTAAATTATTAAACAATTAAACATAATTTGCAATTTATCTACAAACAGAATTAAAAATAAATCAATAATGTAATTGAAATGTTCCATATGCTCTTGAGACAGACACTTGTTGACAGACAAATATTATTAAATAGTGCAATTAATCATTTTTTGGACTAATTGAAATTAAACAAAATGTACAACTGATAAGAAATTTTGAGTTTTTAATGTGTGTGTGTGTGTTTGTTCCTACTTTAGAAGAATTTTATCAAATGTATTTTTTTTTAATTATGTATATGTATGTAAATGTATATTCCGGCTTCCGAATTCAACTAAAACATTCAACATATTCCTTGTGTTTTCCAAATTTTTACAATATGTTAATAAAATGATTTTGCGTTTTCTTTACAAAAAATCTCTTTAAAAACAAAAATTAGATTTTAAAATTTTAGTTTTTCAATAAAAATTTAATTTTTACAATTGTACTAAAAATTTTAGTTCTCATAAAAATTTCAAAATTTTACTAAGTTTCGAATTTAACTTAAAATTTAATTTCACAAAAAATTTAAATTTTAGAAACTTTCGAAAAAAAGCCGCCTTAAAATTTAAATTTTCCCTAAAAATTGTTCTGACTTTCAATAAAACCGTCTAAAAATGTAATTCTAATTTAAATCTAATTTTTCTAAAATTTCAATTTTTCAAATATTTTTAAATAAAAATCAGAATTTTTAATAAAAAAAAAATCGAAAATTCTCAAACAGAATACGAAATTTCACTAAAAACTCGAAAATTAATTAATAGTTCGTAATTTTACTTAAAAGTTTAATTTTCACAAAAAAAATCAAAATATTAAAAGTTTGAATTTTCTCAAAAATATTTTTTTGAAATTTTAATTTTTACAAAAAATTTTATTTTTTTCCACAGTTTCGGAAAAATAAAATTTTCACAAGAAATTTTAAATTTCTTTTAATGAATTGGAATTGTGATTAAAAATTCAAAAATTTATTACAAATTCTAAATGTTAAAAATTTTACTTTTTCACCAAAAATTAAAATTTCTCTAATTTTTGAAGATTTTAGAGAAATTTTAATAATATAAAAAATATTCAGAATTTCAATATAAATCAAATTTTCACTAAACATTCAAAATTTCAGTAACACATTAATTTTGAAATTTCACTAAATTGAAAAAATTAAAATTTCGACACTTGATTTAAAAATTTCAAATTTTCAATTGGCTTCTTCGGAAAAACAATTATTGATTGTCGAGAATAAAGTTTAATCGAATATTAATACCTGAGAAATATTTCTGGTATTCTAGTTTTGAACCAGTAGTAGTAGATTTTGAAACTCTATTACAACAATAACAGAATCAGAATTTTCGAATTTAAATTGGAAGCATCACAATAATTGGAAAATGTTGATATAATTTTATAATGATAAGAGGACCATCTTATAAAATATCTCTTGTAATCGTGTAATAATGTTATATTTAAACCAAAAATTGTACAATTCACAATTTCCGATAATAATTGAACTTAGTTTTTGCTAAAAACTGATTTTGAAAGTGTAGAATGTCACCAGAAGTATAACAGATAAAAATAAAAAGAATACAAAACTATTATATTGTTCTTAAAATTGGATATTTTATAAAGAAATATTAAATTCTTGTCTATTAAATAAAACTAAATTGGTAAATATTAAAAGGTCTTATAATAAATTAAATAAAAATATTCAATATTAAGAAAAAAGAAACAAATCTAAACCTAGATAATTTTTACGGAGTTTTTTTTTTTAATTTTAATTTACAATACAATTGTTATTATATATTATGTCTATATAATTGCGAATTAATTGTAAATTAATAGATTCACAATTTATACAAACATAAATAAAGTTCTAAATATAAATAAAGAGTAAATTTGTCAACACAAGTTAAATACAAAAGAAATTTTACGAAGAAAAAAACCTTAATAAACTAAAACTTTGGAAAAATCAAATCTGTATAAACTACTTAACAAAAACGTTACCCTTTTTAATAGTAGTTTTTTTCAGTGCTTAAATTGAATTGAAAGAAAAATGATTTGTAAACAAATGCACACGCAGACAGGAAGAAAGCATTTTGGTACGAGTTTAACATAAATGTACACTGAGAAATTTTTCTTTGAGAAAAAAAAAATACAATAAACTAAAAATTTCAATAATAAAAAGCACACAGCTGTCAATTTATCTTAATTTGTCTATAAAATCTTAAAAGCTGCAACGAAATAAAAATCAATGGAAAGAAAATACACGCACACACATATAAAGAGAGAAAAAAAAAACAAAACAATATTCGTAGATTGAGAAATTATAGTAGAAAACAGAAGAGGGTTTGGTTTGTTCGGTATGGATTTCGGTTGCGAAATTAACATCGTTTCAACATCGAATTTTGGTTTCATTCAATTTTTTACATGGTTCCACATCACGATGTGTAGTGTTTTGGAGAGACATTTAGAAGAATTTCTCTATTTCATTTTGGAGTCATTATTATTTTTCTTTTTAATATTTTACCTCTAACGATGAAGAAGCAGGATTACAAAAGTTATTTATAATTTTGTAACACAATAGTAGGTAATGTTCAAAATAGTTTTTAATAAAGAAAAACTCAAAAAAAATATGTATCAATAAATGGATTCTTTTTTTAATATAGAAAATCAAATAAAAAAAAGTAGTAATTAAATGGTAGAGATTCTAAAGGAATAGTGAGAGACATGAATATACACATAATCGTAAAAGTAATAATGATGAACTGAATAGATAAAGGATTCAATTTAATAAAATTACCTGGTGGAGGCATACTGGGTACAGCCCCATTGGGTATATAGCCACTGTCATCATCTATAAAAAATATTACAAAAGGAATAGTAAAAAGATGTTGTAAAACATTAGCTTCCTTTCACTCACCAGCTGTATCTTGTGAACCAAACATATCTTCGGTTAGCTCATGAGCATACTCTGGTGGCAATGCTGGGGCAGGTGGTAGGGCAAAACTAGGAGGAGCTGTGGGTGGTGGTGATTCTTCACCGCCCTCTGTTAAAGGTTCGCCATTTTCATCGCACTCCTCCACCACCAAAGAAGGGAAATTACCAAATTTACCATCTAGTTCACCTTCCCACCAACCATCGTCAACGCCATGAGCTGTTTTTGTAACAATCTTTATGATTTGGCCCTCTTCGAAAGTGAGTTCATCCTCGGCGGTAGCATCGTAGTCATATAGAGCAATGCAATACATTACTTCGGATTTCTTCTTTTGAGGAGCCATTATAACCGATACTTGGTCCGGTGATTGCATAGAGTCCACAGTTTGATCTTCATTATCAACAGTATAATCAACAGATGAGAAGGAAATTTGTGAGCGCAATTGATTGGCAGAACTACCATTCACAGGTGTTTCCTGTTCAATATCCAAATAGTTGTGGGGAACATAACCCTCTTCGCCACGATAATTACGAGCACGTAACCAGCCGTCGCCATCTCCCTCACCAATAACCTCCAATTGTTCGTTTTCCACAATGGTCAACTCGTCTGGATTTTGTGCCTGTTTTAATAATTGTAAATAGTTACTTTTTACAAATTATTTTAAATAAAAAAAATTACTTACCGTGTAACTGTATAAAGCAGTGCATTTAAATATGGCTTCTTTGGGTTCAGGAACAATAGGTTCTTCTTTTTCTTCTTCCTCTTCCTGATCATTATCCCAATTAACCTCTGTGGGATCATCCCAACCAGTATTCGAAGACATCATTTGCATTTGAGACACTGGCTCTGGTATATGTTCTTCGGTTTCTGAAATAAAAGGATTTTACGAATGAATTTTATACTTTAAATGATCTGAGTTAAAGAGTACGCCAACTAGAAGGAAAACATGTTTAAAACCTAAAAAGCTTTTATTCGAGTACGATAGTTAAGATAATATTCAAAACTTACCTTCATCACTATCGCTAAATGTTTTATCTCTTGATAGTTGTGGTTCTTCTTTGAGTTTGCTAGCTGCTGGAGCACCACCAGCTGCTTCTTCCTTATCGCTATCATAAAATGAATCTGAACTAGGATTTTCCTAAAGAAATTAAAAACAAAAATACCTTAATTATATTGCTTCTTTTTATGAATAAACTTTTCAAACTCACCCCTTGACCCGAAGCATCGGTGCGCATTGAAATCGAACTGGCCGAACGTGTTAATTCTTGAGCTCCCATTATTTCAGCTTCCTGCACCCATTCATCTACATTTATGCCACCCTCACGCAAGCACTGTAAGCAAGCTTCTGCTTTAGCCTTTTCGGTTTCGGATCTTCTAATCAAATCACGGAATTCTTCAATCTTCGTATCAAGATCAGGACCATTAGGGTCATTAGGATCACTACGTTGACCCGAATCACGTAGAGCAACACACACGGCCAATTTCTTGGCATTTTCCCTAATAGAGACATTTTCCTTTACAACTCTACCAGCTAAATTCTTAGCCTCCTTGGTTAAAGTTTCCACAGCTGATTCATGTTCTGTGGTAACCTTGCGTACAGGATCATTATCGCATGGCTCAAATTCATACTGAATATGTTGTTTTAACACCGGATAGAATAGATAACAACACTGCAAATTGTATTCCCGAGTCAACTGTTGAGCTTGATCGCGTATTTTCCCGAAAGAATTCTGAGTGGCTGAACAGGTCAACAATTCGGTGCGACCCATTAGGGTAAGATATTCGGCCACTCGTTCAAATACATAATTCTCCATGGTAGTCATTGTTGTCTGCAGATCAACGGTGAAATAACGATTCTGATGAGCATTGGCCGCAGCCAAACTCAAAATGTAATCATTACGAGCCCCAGTGGATTTCTCTTCCAACAGCTCTTTGCGTGAGGTCACACGAGCACTATTCTTCTGAAGCGAGGTAATCGATTGAAAGAATGAACCCTTTTTCTTTTTCAATTTCTCTTCTATGTCTCGAGCCTTATCGCGCACATCATGAGCGCAATGCTCTTCATCGAAATATTGTTTTTTCGTTTTATCCAAATCGCCAACACTCAAATGCAGTTCCTTTTGAACATTTACAATTTGCGAAAGAGATCTCTTCGAAATGGCCAGCTTATAATCGCGCAAAACTTTCGCCTCGTCTGCGATTTGTTGTTGAAACACTTCAATGGCGGCCAAACGAGCACGAGCTAGTTTTTCATTTTCCTCCAAAACTGTTCGCCAAACACTCCACATGTTCCTGTGAATATCAAGTTGGAATAATATTAGATTTAAAATGCGGGGTGTGTCTTAGAAATACTACACTGGTATTTTACTGATACTACGTTTTATAAAGTTAATTATTTCTTTCGTATCAGAAACATATTTATCCACCCCCAAAAAACGAACAAACGAATACACCCACTATTACGTTCTTAGGATATTCATTACTAATATTATTAGAATCATTAGTGTAAATGTCAGACAATACTCTACGAAATGGGAAAGTGTAATTTCTAAAACTAATATGTTAGATAACTGACCTATTTTAAATAAATATAGAAATCTAGGGACGAATTGACACATTCATTAACATTAATATGGATCTGGATATGGATATCATTGCAATATAAATCAAAATCTGATGATGTCTTATTTAAATTTCCAACATAGCAATACTTGGCGCTCTTTAATACAAAAACTTACCACCTTTCTTCCATTCCCTCCATTTTAATGTCTGGTATATTGGGAATTTTCTTATTCAAGTATTGTGAAGATATCTTAAGTAACGCCTCACTATAAGATTTCTCAATGGCAGACCTCTTGATGGTGAATTGGCGTATGTCCTCCAGCAAATCGCATTCATGTTGATTCTTCAATTGCAACTTTGCCACTTGTTCCGTGTGCAAATTCTTCAAGAACTTCACATAGTTGCCCTAATGAGAGGTAAAAGACAAGAAGCACAACAACGCAAAACGGCAGCAACAGAAAAAGAAACAAACAGGATTAGAATAACAAGAACAATAAAGTTAAAAACAAACATGTCTATTTTTAAAAAGGAAACGGAAATAACAATAATAACAAGAAATACTTGTATGAATGTAAAAAATGTATGATGATGATGAGGTACAGGTGAATAAATATTATTTTGTTTGATGAGTATATAAAAGCTAAAAATAAGTATATGTTTATAATATTGTTTAATAATGAAAAAGAAAACATTTTTATTTAGGTACTTAGAAGGTATTTGTTTAAGGAAAAAGTAATTTCATTTAGCAAGTGAATTTGATAGGTTACTGTGTTTCTTATAGAAAGAAATTAAGAGCGAAAAAGAGAAAGAGATCTGAATAATTTGTATAGTTTAGCGTGAGTTAGTTTTGCTGGTAAAAGTTATGGAAAAAATAAAACTATAAAAATTATAACAAATATAGAAGAATTGCTTATCGATTATTTTAAAAGTTCACAACCTAATAACTGGTCTATATATTTAGTGAATTAGAACTAGAACTGAACTAGAACTGAACTAGAACTGAACTAGAACTGAACTAGAACTGAACTAGAACTGAACTAGAACTGAACTAGAACTGAACTAGAACTGAACTAGAACTGAACTAGAACTGAACCTAGAACTGAACTAGAACTGACTAGAACTGAACTAGAACTGAACTAGAACTAAACTAAGAACTGAACTAGAACTGAACGAGAACTGAACTAGATACTGAACTAGAACTGAACTAGAACTTAACTAGAACTGAACTAGAACTGAACTAGAACTGAACTAGAACTGAACTAGAAACTGAACTAGAACTGAACTAGAAGCTGAACTAGAACTGAACTAGAACTGAACTAGAACTGAACTAGAACTGAACTAGAACTGAACTAGAACTTGAACTAGAACTGACTGAACTGGAACTAGAACTGAACGAGAACTGAACTAGAACTGAACTAGAACTGAACTAGAACTGAACTAGAACTGAACTAGAACTGAACTAGAACTGAACTAGAACTGAACTAGAACTGAACTAGAACTGAACTAGAACTGAACTAGAACTGAACTAGAACTGAACTAGAACTGAACTAGAACTGAACTAGAACTGAACTAGAACTGAACTAGAACTGAACTAGAACTGAACTAGAACTGAACTAGAACTGAACTAGAACTGAACTAGAACTGAACTAGAACTGAACTAGAACTGAACTAGAACTGAACTAGAACTGAACTAGAACTGAACTAGAACTGAACTAGAACTGAACTAGAACTGAACTAGAACTGAACTAGAACTGAACTAGAACTGAACTAGAACTGAACTAGAACTGAACTAGAACTGAACTAGAACTGAACTAGAAACTGAACTAGAACTGAACTACTAGAACTGAACTAGAACTGAACTAGAACTGAACTAGAACGAACTAGAACTGAACTAGAACTGAACTAGAACTGAACTAGAACTGAACTAGAACTGAACTAGAACTGAACTAGAACTGAACTAGAACTAGAACTGAACTAGAACTGAACTAGAACTGAACTAGAACTGAACTAGAACTGAACTAGAACTGAACTAGAACTGAACTAGAACTGAACTAGAACTGACTAGAACTGAACTAGAACTGAACTAGAACTGAACTAGAACTGAACTAGAACTGAACTAGAACTGAACTAGAACTGAACTAGAACTGAACTAGAACTGAACTAGAACTGAACTAGAACTGAACTAGAACTGAACTAGAACTGAACTAGAACTGAACTAGAACTGAACTAGAACTGAACTAGAACTGAACTAGAACTGAACTAGAACTGAACTAGAACTGAACTATAACTGAACTAGAACTGAACTAGAACTGAACTAGAACTGAACTAGAACTGAACTAGAACTGAACTAGAACTGAACTAGAACTAGAACTGAACTAGAACTAGAACTAGAACTAGAACTAGAACTAGAACTAGAACTAACTGAACTGAACTAGAACTAGAACTGAACTAGAACTGAACTAGAACTGAACTAGAACTGAACTAGAACTGAACTAGAACTGAACTAGAACTAGAACTGAACTGAACTAGAACTAGAACTAAACTAGAACTGAACTAGAACTGAACTAGAACTGAACTAGAACTGAACTAGAACTGAACAAGAACTGAACTAGAACTGAACTAGAACTGAACTAGAACTGAACTAGAACTGAACTAGAACTGAACTAGAACTGAACTAGAACTGAACTAGAACTGAACTAGAACTGAACTAGAACTGAACTAGAACTGAACTAGAACTGAACTAGAACTGAACTAGAACTGAACTAGAACTGAACTAGAACTAAACTAGAACTGAACTAGAACTGAACTAGAACTGAACTAGAACTGAACTAGAATTGAACTAGAACTGAACTAGAACTGAACTAGAACTGAACTAGAACTGAACTAGAACTGAACTAGCACTGAACTAGAACTGAACTAGAACAGAACTGGAATAGAGCAGAACTAGAACTGGACTATTTCCGTTTTCGTTTCTATTTCATTCCGTCGATATGTAAAAAATATGATAAGAATACTTTAATAGGATAAAGTAATAGATATTCCTCATACATTGAGAAATTAAAAATATTTTATTTATTCTCAGATATGTGCTAATATTCTAAAATAAATTCGAAAGTTTTTTAAGCATAAAGCCTGTCTTCAAAAATATTTTACAATAAATTTATTTCATTTTAATTCAATTAAATATTGAGTATTGAAGCGTTCTATAGAATTTACTCGATTTGCAAAAAAAAAATCCAGTTTATACAATAACTCCGTAGACTTTCAGATTAAAGTACATACATAACAAAACGTTAACAAGCTCTTTAGCTTTTTTCCCTTTTCTTTGCAACAAATTTAATTTTATCATCGATTTTATGATAATCATTTTAAAATCGATGAAATGAAATTACTTTTTCCCTCAACTAATAACTCTTGTAATTTGTTTGGTTCGTAGTAGTAGTAACATTTATTTCTTGCTTACCTTACGCGGAGGGGGCTGCATTTTCTTGTTTATTTATAAATTTAGTTTTGTTTTAGCCTCTACTTTATGCTTTAATTTTTGTTTCTGTTTTTTGTGTTTTGTCTAGCACACTTTTAGGGGGTGTGTATGTGTTTTTTGTGTAAATGTATTTCAGAATTATGATTGTTTTTCCAAATTATTTGTGTTTTTCTTTTATTTTCTGTCTATTATTAATTTACTGTTTGGTGTTTTTTAGTTTTTCGTTTTGTATCGATTGATTTTCAATTTAATTCAAGTAAAATCAAATTTTTTCCCATCTAAAAAATGTAAAATCACAAAATACAAAATTCAGTAGTGATTATTAGCAATACAAGAAATTAAATAAAATTATGTAGTATTTGATAGAAATAAGACATAAATAATTAACAAGACAAAAGCACTCAAAGCCAAAATAGCAAATTAAGGATTAAGTGTATGTGTGTTTGTGTTTGAGTGTATGTGAAACAGTTGATTTTGTATTATATACACTTATGTAATAAGTTGTACTATATAAGTATTTATGTATGTATGAGAAAAAAAAGGATACTTTTTTTATAAATAGATTATTTTTTGAAAATACATTTTTATTTTTAAACTATAGTATGGAGAAAATTGAATATGAATTTCCAATTAAGTTTCCCTGTGAATACAAATTTATTAATGATTTTTATTAATTATTACAAACACTTTTTTAATTCCAAATTTTCAAATTTCTAAATTTTTTCTTTTAGCTTAATCTTTTTTTTGTATTTTTTAAACTTTCTACGTTTTGAAAGATTATTATAGTATTTTGTTTAGATATAGACAAAATAAATTTGTTTAAATGTTAACTAACACTTTTCTTGGACATCGTTTCCTTTTTAGCCATTGGTTTTTCTTAAAATTTGCCACAGTTAAATGCTTTTCTTTCACTTTTAATTACAATTCAAATAAGATTTTCACTTAGAATGTGAAAAAATTCACAAAAAATTTTTTTTCTTTCTTACGTATCGATTTCGTCGCCGTCGTCGATGTTGGTGGAAAAAATTTGTGTCTGCTATTGAAAAATTGGTATTCTTTTTATGGCCCTTAACATTTTGTTTTTAACTGGAATTTGCTGCGTTGAGCCCAAAAATTGCGTGAGCGTAATTTTCCAGTGTATTATTTTAAGACTCGTCTCGTTTTGGGCAATCGAATATCCAAGATAAGGGGGTGGTTTTCTAATGTAAATGTAAATACAATTTTCCTTGTATTGTAATGTGTTTTCATTCATAAAACTGACATTTGGAAAGATGAAAATGTCAGAGTGATAAACCAGGAAATAAGACAAATCTGTCAGTGTTGTATTATTGCCTTTAAACATGCGCAATTAAAACACATGTGTTTTTAAAAATTAAACGAAAAATCTTCCCTTGTATAAAGAATGATTTTGTGACCCAAAAATACTAAAGTTCCAATAATTCTTAATTTGATTTATTATTATTTTCCATCCCTATTAAGTCATCCATTACAATGTAGTTAAAGTTTATATTGTATAAACGATAACATAACAACAATATATAGAACAGTTATCGAAAGTAAAAAAAAATAACGTCACTACCTACACTACTACTATTATTAAAAGCGATTATTTGTCGTAGAGATATGCGATCTTAAATTAGAGATATGCTTCTTGGGACTTTTTAATAAATATCACGCACGATGATAAACACATTTTAGAAATATATAAATAAAATTCTCAAATATATTTCACATAAATTCGATAAAAGAACAAACCTCCTTGATATTTAATATTAAATAATTTTTAACTGAAACTTTTTTAAAAATTCGTTTCTTATCTTTACAAATCACAAAAATTTTGCTTATAATTTATTACTTTAACTTTTCAGCTAGTAACAGTTTGCTGTTGTTATTTTATAGCTTTTTTCACTTTCCACTTTTGGGGCAAAGACTTTAGTTCTAAAATTGATAAAAATTTGTCAGCATTTTAAAAATTTTATACAGAAAAGGGCCAGCAAGTATAATTTAATAACGTTATAATTGTTTAACAAATTGTTACTGAATTATTTATACGACATCTTCTCCTATAAGTTTTTGTTTATCAATTCAACATTTTACAAAATAAATAAACCTTCAATTGGATTTTCACTCAATTGAGCGCAAAATTTAAAGATAAATAATGCTTGTATATTGTTGGTAGATACTTTTTTTGAACTGATAACACTAAATAAAAATGAGTGATATTGGAAAGTTGTGTAGTAGGACGGCCCCAAAATAGAAATTGCAATATTTCCGCCGAAAACTTAATACCTTCTAAAACTTCATTTTTAAGCATTTTCGTGCTAGCGTTAATATTTGGTGATCTGGATACAAAAATAAAAATATTCTTTCTGAGTTTTACGTGTTCTTTTGTCTTCTCAATAATAGAATCAAGTTAACAAGATATTTTCTTAATTCCACAATTTTAGCAGACTTTTTCCTTTTAAATCGTTTATAAATATGTACATTGGATCTCCGGTTTTAAATTTAAAAATTTAAATTAATTTGTTGTTGGCATTTTTTAATATTTTTATAAAGAAGCCCAGTTTTCATATTTTAATAATAAAATACAATATTTAATAAAACTAAAAACAAACAAAATTTATTTATCTTCACTAAATGAAAAAAATAGAACACTATTCATAAACTTAACTTAAATATAATAGGAACACAAGAAACTCAATAGCTTACAAATATCGCTTACGCAATCAACAATTTAAAGGGCTCCAAATAAATATCCAAAAAGTCTTCTTTGTAGGGTAATTTATATGGTAAAGATTTATCATCGAAGTATGCCTCAATTTGACCGCCCAATTTAAGTTGCGCCAACATTTCTGAAGCCACCACCACGCCAAAGTTTATAAGCAAATCTTCACTTTTCAACACAGCTATTGTTAGACCATACGAGGTTTCGATGTCCACTACAGTGAATAGTTTACCTGCACGTAAACCCAGTTTTCTGTCATGCTTAAGAAAATTTCCTTTTACCGTTTCACGTTTTAAAGCTCGGTCGAATAATTCTTCATAGCCACCTTTTAGGCGAGTTTTTGTACGTGGCAATTGGTCTTTAAGTTTTTGCTTATGGTTTTCCTTTTTTCTATTATTTTCATCCTCACGTTCTATGAGATCAATTAATAAGTCTAATTCCGAGTCAACATTGTCTACAGATTCTTGAGTTGTTGTAGGAGTTTCAATAGTTTGAGAGGCTTCCGGTGAACTACTTAGAAAGGTATTAAAAGATTCATTTAGACTATTGCTAGTTTCAGTTAATGTTGAAATGTTGGTAGTGGACAAAATATTTCTTTTTGGTTTGTCTATAATTACATTTAGTTTATTGTAACGCAAATATTGTGATTGCGGCCGAATTCTGGGACTTAATTTTCTTCTTCCAATATTAAATGTGCTGGACAAATATTTCCTCTTTTCCTCTATACACCCGAAAACAGGACTTATTTTAAATGCAGCATCATCACAAGTATTGTTTTCATTACAACTTAAATTCATGGCAGAAATATTCTCACTACTTGTCGATGGAACATTTTCTTTTGTTTTTAAAATTCTCCCTGCTAAATAAGTGGATTTTTTTTCCGTACGATCCACTTTGGGACTACATTTACTAATTGAATTATTAATAACATCACTGGAGGTGCGGGCATCCTTAGACACATTTTCGCGTTCAATAACTTCCAGGGTTTTATAACGAGTGGCACAATTATATTTTCTTATTGTAGAATTATTAATATAGCAGGTGGAATTTAAATTTGAACTTGTATTTCTCTCACGGCCACAGGTTGTTTGAAAATTTCCTATCAAACTTGCATTCGAACTAACACTTCCTTGGAAATTAGTTGTACCTCTATTTCTATGAAATGCATACTTCGATTTAGGAGAATGAGACTTTTTCTGTCGTCTCCTGGGTAAGGTGTATGTTATATTATATTTTTCAAATATATTCTCAAAGCTACGATTCATTTTAATAGGTATTTATGTTAAATTTTACATTAAATTTTATTTGTTTACAAATATTTTGCGGCAAATTGCACAATATTTTTTTGTTGGCAACTCTTTATAAGACAAAACGTATTGCCAACTATTTACAAAGAAAATACTTACGAGATAAAGTTGCCATATTCTTAAGAAGACAAAACGAGGGAATGTTTCTTTTTGTGATTTTTAGGTTTTAGAAACATTAAAATTGATTAATCACCTATATGTATATTGGAATAATATGCATTTTTTATAACAAAAAAAAAAAACAGTTATGTTGAATTCCGATATACAAATTTAAATAAAATTGTTTTAGTGAATAAAAAACCAATTATGTACATGAAACAGTCTTACAAATATGTAAAAAACTGTTAAAAAATGCCGACCAGAAATTTATAAAATATGCAGCTTTTATAAAAAAATCTGTAATATTTATCTTAATTCCGATGTATGTATTAAAAATATAACAATGTCAAGTCCTATATGATAGTAAATAATATTTTTGTTCAATAACAGAAATTTTAAAGCATTCCTAAAAAATAGCAACTTCCCCATTTTTATTAATTATCTATTATTTAACATTTGTCTCTTTGCCACATTTCCTTCATGTTTCTTATCAAACAGCTGATCCGTCTACAGTTATGTAGACGACACACAGTGGAACTGGTTTTCAGTTGAGAAGTAAACAAATAGTTACAAAATAGTAAATTACAAAAACTAATGTGTATAAACTTGGCTTGCAAGTTGGTTTTAAGAGAAATTAACTGGGTTAAAGAGTGTAAAAAGCTTAACCAAACATTAAGTCGAGTTTCACTTTTCAAAGTGTTAGCAACGAACATTTTAACATAGCGCATCAATAAATTTATTTTATAAATTAAAATAAAGTATTAAAGTTAATAATTTTTAATAATATTATAAAAAAACAAGTGAACAAAATGAACAGAGTTAGTTTCCTCGCAAGATTAACAAATAAACAACAGTGGCGTTTGTTTTCCAATCCTACCTCAATAACGAGAAATGCAGGCGCAACTTTCACTTTACAACAACAAACTGCTCAAAAACTACAGCAGCAAATATTGAGAAGTGTAACCACATCACCCTCCCATAAAGTGGGTAATGAAAAAATCGTTGCAAAGCCAACACCACCAAAGCACGACTGGAATCGTGCCGTCAGTGAAGCTGAACGTATAGTAGGCTATCCCACCTCCTTCCTAAGCTTACGCTGGCTATTGAGCGATGAAATAGCCAATGTCGCCTTACATTTACGCAAGTTAGTGGGCAGCAGTCATCCACTATTAAAAACAGCCAAGTGAGTTTAATACAAATATTCACGCCTAGTCAGAGATCAAATATTTCATTGTGATAATAAATACAATGACGATTGCGACACAAACGTGTGTGTTTGGAATTTTAAAAGCCAATTTGTTTATTTTGTCATTTAGGCATAAACGCATCATCTCTTTCTTATAACAATAGTTTTATTTACTTTGAATTTACATTAATATTTTTGCTTTCTAATATCTATTTTTTCATTATCTCAGACATTTACTGTATAACGGCAAAAATACTACACAAGCTTGGGGACTGATAGTTCTATTGATATCCAAAGCAGCTGGACATGCTCCCACAGTACCTGATATGGAACAAGACAAAAGTGCTGGAGTATTACACTCGCAGCGTGGATTAGTGGAAGTGACAGAAATGATTCGTATTGCTCACTTAGTGCATACTGTAAGTAAATGAATTAAAGGTATTATAAACATAGTACATACATATTCGTAAATTAAAAAACTCCGAAGGAATGGCATGTTAAATTTTTATACATTTCGACCTTTTTTCATTAGGAGAAAAGTCCATAGATTAGTCAATAGACTATTCCATATAATTCTCGATTATAGATTCCATAGGATGATCCATAGACTAATCAATAAGTTATTCCTTCAACTGATCCATATACTTGTTATTTTTTCCATCATGTTCCATTTTAATTTCATGCTTCTTTTATTTTGTATTTTACAGAGTTTGGTAAATTTGCAACGTTCATCACAAGCTGGCCAGGATGCAAATACCTATGATGATATGACTTTTGGTAACAAAATAGGTTTATTGATTGGTGACTACCTTTTGGGTCACTCTAGTGCAGAATTGGCCGGTTTGCGTAATCAAGAAGTTGTTGAGCTCATTTCTTCAGCTGTTAGAGATTTTTCTGAATCCGAATTTATTGGTGAACGAGATGAACAAAATAATCCCTTACCCTCGAAACCTGGTTCAAATCCCGTACAAAGTAATGGTACCGCCACAACTCCCGATATAGACTTTGACGAAAAGGACGTTCTTATACCCATGAGCATAGCAAAGGTAATGGGTAATCCTGAAAAGGAATGGGAATGTCGTAATATTTTAAATGCTGGCAGTCTTTTGGGCAAATCTTGCCAAGCTTCTATAAAGTTGGCTGGTCAGAGTGAAGAAATGCAAAAGCAGGCTTATCTCTTTGGTAAACATTTGTCTTTGGCTTGGCAAGCCTGTTTGGATGCTGAACCTTTTCAAAGCCCCACCTTACCTTTTGGTATGTAAAAATATCAGATTAGTAACAAACAATTATAAATTATTTTTATTTTTTTCTACAATATAGACACCACTTTTAGTTTGGTAAGTGCTCCCGTACTCTTCCATCTGGAATATGATCCCAAGTTGTATGATGAAATTGAAAAGGGTAAAGTGTCGGTAGAAAATGTAGACTACGTTAAAATACACAAGGCTATACTAGAGGGTCCCGGCTTAGAAAAGACCAAAGAGTTACAGCAGAAACATACCACAGCAGCTTTGCGTGTTTTGCAAAGTTTTCCAGCTAATGATGCAAGAACTGCTTTGGAAAATATCATATTGGCCATGCAAGACCTGTAACAACAACTCGAATATAAATGACGAAAGTAATCCTAGGGTGGTGGCAATAATTTTACACATGCAACAAATAAAGTAAATAAGTAGTATTTAACTTAGCGATATAATATTTATAATTAACATTTATACACTACAAAGAGAAGTTTTTAAATTTTTTTATATAAAAATAAATTATTTATTTTTCTAATTGTTTTTTTAAGAACTTGTAACTTTTAGTAGCACCAAATGTTTACATCTTTCATATTTAAAGTATTGTGGAAAATCAGTTTGAACATATACAAATCTCCAAGGTTTGGGCATAGTTAACTTGAGGAAATGTTCGAACATCGGAGCAACTGCATCACATTCGGAAGTTGTAAAGACATAACGCTTTTCCAAAGCCACGTATATTTCTTTTTTCTTATGGCTTACTTTTTCTCTGGAAAAAATCGCATCCATTACATTAATAAAGGCTTTTGTTAAGTCATCATCATATATCACATCAGCTGCCACTACAACATCACTCTCATCTATAGCCTTCAAAAGCTCTTGGCTATAGTTCGCTCTATCCAGCATAAAATCATACTCCAGCACCTCTATTTTATTAGATCCACAAAATTTTTCATTTCTTTTAACATTGGCACGTATTAAATCTAAAATACCTCCGATGTCAACATCGGTACAAACAACTTTATTAACATATTTGCCAGCTGCAATACTTGTCAAACCCACGCCAGCACCCAATTCCAAAATTTGCTTATCTTTAAACTCGTTACGCTGATTAAATATATAATCGGCTAATAGTAGAGCACCCCTCCATACTTGTAGACCAACTAAACGTATTTCGGTGGCCTCGGAATGTTGTATTTCAATAACACCATTTTCATGTTCAATGTCACTTTTTCGTCTGGGTACCACTAGATCGCCATCGTCGTCAACCGTTACACCACAGCTGTCGGGATATTTAAATTCAAATTTTGAAACAATTTTACCATCTTCACCTTTAGTGGGTTTAAAATTTGTCTCCTTATAAATTTCCGATGTTACCGTGTACATTTTCTGTTTATACTTTGATTTTCCTAATTTTATATAATATTGTTGTTATTGGCGACAGCTACACTTGATGTTTGCATATTAAAAATATTTTCTCATAGTTTTTCTAAAATGATTTTCATTTTGACACAAGTTTCTTCAAAATGTTTATAAATAGACAAGGGATGAAAACAGAAAATAAAAAGAAATGAAATGAAACAGAAAAATGGAAAGAAACATCATACACTTGTAAAAATTACTTTGTCAAATAATTATTTTAATGTGATACATACTTTTTTAGGATTAAGTTTTTTTATATACTATTTATAGCATCTCTGACGTTTTCCACCTAACCAATCAGAATGAGAGAGAGCAAGAGGAAACGAAATTATGACAGTGCTGCCAAATTAGTGCATTTCTTAGTTTTTATGTTATAATTGTGATTTTAATGGTGCCTCCTGATATGCCAAATACGTAAGTAAAAATTTTGATGTGGTGCCTTAAAAAAAAAATTTAATAATACCATAATAAAACAATTTTTGTTGGAACGAAAATATGTCTACCAAATTTTATGACGATCGAAGCATAATTCACCCTAAACCCATATGAGATCTTCTTCAGAAAATGACTTAAACACACATACATAAATGGCTTTCAAATGTCGATGTAATAATGGAATTCGATGAAAAAACCTTTTTTAGGAACCCAAACCTATATTTATGAAAAATAAAACGTAGAATTCAGAAAAATAAACATATTTTAGCTTTGTTCCAGAACTTTTCTGGCTAAAGAGAATTAATGAATTTTCTCTTCGTACTTATAAAAAGTACGGGAACAGAAAAAAAATATTTTTTTTTGTTTTCAATGTACTTTTTTAACAAATAATTTATTTGACAATTTTTTTCTATTTGCCTGGAAAAAATGTTCTGGTTTTCCACTATATTTGTGTACTTGGTTTTAAAAAGAGAAAATTTATGCGAATTCGTTTTTAAACGAGAAATTTGCTCGGATTCGGTTTACAGAACAGACAGGACTATGTAATATTATAGGGTCAAATATAGGCCGATCCTAGTGTTTTTAATTTTTAAGCATTTCTTATCCATCCCTGCATAATTTCTCACACAACTTTTGTGCTTGCTTTGCTCTGTTTTGTTGTTATAAACAATAGGTCTGTTCGAGTACCCGATAATTTGTAACAATTTGCAACAATTGTTACTGGATTCCGTTCGCGTACTTTTGAAAACTTGCAATGAGAGAATAAGAGAGCGATAAAAATGATAGAGAATTTTTTGATTTTACTGGATATTTTTTCCCCAGTAAAAAATTTGCAAACAAACATGTTTTTTAAACACATTCGCGTACTTTTTTAGATTCAGAGTAAATTAAAAATTTCTCTCTATCATAAAGTTACTGGATATTTTTTTACTGAAAAGTACGCGAACACACCTAATATATTTGCTTTCTGATCTCTCGGATTCCGTGTTTATTTAAAATCGTTGAAAATTCAAAAACTAATCGTAGTTTTACATCGGCTTACAGTCGATTTTAAGCCCCGCCGACATATTTAGTGTCAGTCGCCGCCGCCGTTAATATTTGTCGGCGCAGGGCTCTGACAACGACATATTTTTCAGATCTGCGATTAATATTTTTCTCTAATTACGAATTTATTTCTAAAAATACTTAAAAGTTTTATAGTTTTTTCGTTGTTCGATTAGGCGGTGAGTGAACTGAAGAATTATTGCTTTTCTTCAAACAAATAAATAATAGTCACTGTAAAGTGAATGGTAGTATTAAATGGTAAATGAAATAGTGTGATTGTGTATGGTGAGCTATGAAGAACGACATGGAGTAAAAAATCTTAATATATAAACTATTTTTTATGTCTGAGGAATTTTTGGAAAAAGAAGAAGCAAATAGAATAATATAAAAAGAAAAATAAATATATTTTTTTCGAAAATTCTGCAAAATTGTATGTAATAAATTAGTGAAAAAAGGAAATGTAAAAAAGCAACAAGTACGTTTTGTTGAGTTTATTTATGGCATCTTTTGACGTTTTTTCATTTATGACACCTCACCGACGAGAATGAGAACAAGAGAAAACGAAAATTAGAGATATGCTATAAAACGAAGGAAATAATGAAGTGTCACTGAGTGAGAGTGTTGCCAGATTTGTTTATTTTACCATTTTTTCTGATAAGTGCTAATATTTAGTAAGAAAATTTAGCAGGTTTTTAAATATCAATAAATAGGAAATTTTAGAAGCTGTTTTATTTAAGAACCTCAGCATACCATTTTTAAATTCTGAAAGATGGTCCAAGGTGTAATCATTCATTAAATGTACTACATTTTTATTTTCCTGTTAACATTTCAATTTGACAATTGTTTAGTTTTAAACATAAAACCATAAGTCAGGCATCTCTTTTACCCAAAACACGATTGTCAAAATGAAGAAAAATTTTTCTTCTCAATATTGAAGTTTAAGAAACACAAGAAAAATCGTTAACTAGAAAACGCAAAAAATATTCTTGATTTTATGCAGTTTAACAACGCAAAAATATGTTACACACCTAAAAAATGTAATTTATTACAAAATTAAAATATTTAATTGTTAAACTACAAGTGCAAATACAATAAATAAGAAAAATTAAAGTTTTAAATCGTGCACAAAAAACCGAAAAAACAGCCTAAAAAAGTAAACTCCCCCAATAGAGAAAAACTAAAGGATTTAATAAAATATAAAACGAATTTAAACAATTTATTAATCATAAATTTTGTAATATTTGTATAATTTTTACTGTTAGTAAAATAACAACGTATTATTGCATTCATTTGTTTTAGTGTTGTGAAAATATCTAGCAAGTAATTCTGCAATTAGTCTGTACAAAAGCAAAAAAGAAAGAAACGAAATATTTCTACATAATTTTTTGTTGTTGCTGCTGGTAGTTGCCACTTACGCGTCACGCAACAATTACATTTCATTTATATGTGAAAAGTATAATATAGTGTTTAACTGAGATAAAACCAACAATTAACCAGGAAGGAGCAAACAATATTGTCAGTAAAAATCTTACAGAATGTTTTGGGATACCAAGGATCCGCCTTCACATAACATAGAGATTCTACTGGAATCACCGGTAAGTAAAATATATTGATTTTTTTGTGTATGTTTATTTGTGTAATCGACAATATCCTTAAATTCTTGACACTAAGCATTTATTAGCTGCAACGTACCGGCAAGGGAGGGAAAGATTTGCTGGTGTCTAAAATCGAACATAATCTAAATCTTGTTACTATTTGATATACCTATCGAACGACTTTAATGGGGAGGGGTATTCAAAATTAGTCAGCGACTTTTATTTTTAGGGGAATTGGAGGTTAAGATTTCAAACATTTTATTTTTTAAATGTTTTGTGTCATGTTTCTCCGGAATATTGGTTTAAATATCATAAATATGTTGCTTATACAGCAATAGTAATGACATTTTGCACACGAAATCACAATGTAAAGCATGTATTATAGTTGATGCTCATATAGACGCCTCCTAACTAAGTATACTTAGAAGGATTTAAATCGTCTTGTATTTTATTCTAACTTTTTATCTAAAAACTAGTTTATGACTGATCTATCGTGTTAACAAATCTATGGACTAGTTTATTGCATAGTATGTATTCACAAACTTTGTAGAACGATCGTTTGCGACAGACTTTAGAATTTAATACTGAAAAGTACAATATTACACCTTTTTAAAATTGCAATTCTGACACAAGGAACTACCTATCAAATTTTTACTAAACTTCAAATTCTCTTCTACTTAAGAAACCTGGAAGAGATTTCAATTAAACAAGCAGTAATAACTATTACAAAATAGAGTTGTTCTCATGATAATCGGTCCTTCGCACCGAAACGAAGACGGCACACTACTATAATGTCTTATCTATAGACTAGTCTGTTGTCTAGGGTATAGACTTGTCTGTTTCTTTAAAATGAGATATACGTGTATACAAGAGCATTTAAGAAAAGGCGATTGGAATCAGTATCTTTATTTTCGCTTAAACATGTCAGTTACATGGTGTCTATGTATTACTCTTAATATATATTTTCCAAAAAATACACAACATAAATTACTTATTACCCTGTAATGTATTAAACTAAACATTTTCAACTTTTATTTCTTTCCGTTTTTAAGGATACCAAAGTCGAAGTGTTTTTGGATGAAGACAACATTATACAAGAATGTAAAACTCTAAAGAAAAATATTGTTAACTAGTAAGTACTATATTAAAACCATTTTAAATAAAATATTCATTACTAAAAATATCCTTGTCTTAGTTTTACTCGTCCTGATGTTATAAGACGTTTGATTGAGTTAATTACAACAGAACCTCCAGAGGAAATACCCCTATCGGAACGTTTTCGTCATGCTAATATTGCTAGTGAAATCTTAACAATGTAAGTGTGTATGTTTCACATATAAGTTAATAACTAATACTAAAACTATATTGATATTTTTTTTGTAGGGGCCTACCGTCCTTAGATGAAAAATTACTCGCCGATACAGATACATTAAACATGTTATACTCATATCTGGAAAATGAACCACCGTTAAATCCCTTGCTAGCATCATTTTTTAGCAAGACATTTAGCATGCTCTTTACTAAAAAGTCTGATCAAGATTGGTTTTTGTATCAACAAACGTGCCTAAAACTTTTGGAATATTTAAAGACGAAGAGTAGTTTTTTGGATTTGATATGCAAACATTTCAGTACGCCCATCGTGCCCGATCTCATAATGGAAATGATGCGTAACGTCGAGGGTGCTCAACTGAAAAGAAGCTTATTTGAAGTAAGTAATCAGTTTGATGTTGGTGTTTTTTATTAACATTGTTTTATTTTTAATGTTTCCAGTGGTTGAATGAGGAAAGACTGGTTGAGAAACTTATTGAAATTATTGGTGATCCTGAACAAAGTGAGAAGCACGCTAATGTTGCTGATTTTCTCTGTGATCTTATACATCAGGGGCGTACAATGCGTCAAGATATTGATACTTTTGAACCTGCTTTTGAGGGTTCTAATCCTATATTAAAAAATATTGAAAGTGCAACCACTTTATTAGCCTTGTTTAATGTGATTTTGCAACCAAATGCTGTTGAAAGTGCTATTGTGTCCGGCATAACGGTTGTACTTAAGATAATAAAACCCGTTAGAGTGACGTAAGTTATATTGACCATAGAATGTGAATATTGAAACATTTTTTTAAATTTAATATTTTGTTTTACTAGAGATGAACGGAATATGGAACGTTTGGTGTCTTATCTTGATCGCGAGCAAAAAGTTCATGATGAATTTTTAACAACTGTGATTCGTGTTATTGAACCTCAACTAAAACAATTTAATGAATTGCTTAAGAACCCGCCAAAAGTAAGAAAATTAAGTAATATGTATATAGCAAAAGTATGTTACTAAAACAAAACTTTGTTTAAAACTATTTTAGAAACCCGATATTCTTACATCGGCAGCTAATTTATCGCCACCGTTTGGTATGACCCGTCTGCAAATTTGTCGTCTTTTTACGGTATTATTGGAAACCAATAATGAGGAAATATTTAAAGCGTATGTTTGTTTCTTAAACGTTTATATTTTTATGATTCTTACAATTAAATTTTTTTTATTTTGATTTGTAGTATTTGCGAAACAGATTTCCTTGATATTTTGCTTTCGCTGTTCAAAGAATACTGCTGGAATAACTTTTTGCACAGCGAAGTCGAGAAGTGTCTACACCTTATTTTTCCCTACTCTGAAGTTCCCAACTCTAATACTAACAACAACTCAACGCATGTAAGTGATGGCTCAAAAGATAATAAAGACGGGGATAATAAAGATTCTGTTCTTGATAAGATCGTTGAACCATTAGAGTTTAAAGTTGAGGTCGATAATACTAAAACAACTACAACAACAACAACTAATAGTACTCCGTCCCCCATACAAACTCATGTAAGTTATTTGTCATAGTTTGTGGACATTTGGCAAAAGCTCTGAAAATCTAATCTAAAAGTATTTTCCTTTCTATCAAAAAAATCTTATTTTCGAAAACTTTTTTTTCACTAAATACACTTTTTCAAAATTTTTTACAGAAAACACACTTTTTATAAACTAATTTTTTCCACCAAAATTACTTTTTCCTAGTAAAAAAACTTTGTTTATTAAACCCGTTTTGTTGAAAATTTGCTTTTTATATAAACATTTTCGCTATTTCCTAAATTAAGTTAACTCACACACTTTCTTTTAATTTACAGGCTATTGTTAATTGCAAAATAATATCAAAACTAATTGAGTGCTGGAAAATTAACAAGGAAATAGAGTGAGTTATAGTTGAATTGCTATTTGTGAAAAATATAAATTAAATAATCTTTTTTTAAGGTCTGCTGAAAAAGGACGCCGTTTGGGTTATATGGGTCATTTGATAAAAATCTTCAAGCACATTACACAGTGTATATCAGAATCGGAACATATCGGTGCCTTAATTGAGAGCAATCTCCAAGACGATAATGAACGCGATTTGTGGCAGTCTATTGTCAATACAACTGACGGTGATCTAACAAAGGCCTTGAGTACACAAAACAAATTATTAGCCAACCACAAGCCCTGTGATTACCATGTATCATTAGATTTCTTTGCTGACACTACTAGCATGACAGAGGCTTTGTAAGTTTTTCTATTGTCTAACAAAAATTATTTTTGGATTTTTGCTTATTTGATTCTGTTTTCTTTTTATTCAAGCAATGAAGTGTGTAGTTTTTTGGATTCATCTGACGCAGTAAGTAATCTTGAGATAATGTGTGTTGTAATCTAGTGTTGTTTGCAATACATCCTAATTTTTAATCCTGCTTACCAAAGATTCACTAATGCTTCCTTTGTTTTGTTATGAGATTCTAAATTTTGAAAAAAAAAAAAGCTGGAATGAATTGAATGAACTTTATTTATTTGCAATCCTTTTAAAATAATATTTATAAACAAATCGGTCCATCTTTCTAATGCCCTAAACTGACCCAACAAAATTCTTACAGACGTTGTTTTTTGTTTTTGTTAAACGTTCTTTCTGTTCTGTTAAATATTCTAAATTCAAACAAAACTCGAACTCTTTCTCTATCTCTTTAAAAACAATCAATGAAACAAACAAACAATCAATCAAAAAATATTCTATTCGATTTCATTGCCGCAAAAATACAAAATAAAAAAACAAATAAAATGTGTGCGTTGTATACGTGATGAAATGAAACTAAATAAAACAAATCTAATCGAATCAAATCGAAAAAAAGGATGTCATTTTTACACTTGATTACAATACTCAACATGATGATCACGATTATGATGACGATGATGGTGATGATGATTATAATAATATTGATAATGATAATAATGAGGACAAAGATAAAGACCAAAGCAACGATCATGTGAAAAATGCTCTAAATTTGTTTCAGTTCGGGCGCAGCAACGACGACGATGAAGGTGAAGATGACGATAATGCAGCTGCCTCCTTTGAGCGTGACGGTGGTTTATCGTTTTATGTACAACCCCAGGTTAATCCCTTCATGGAAGATCCCTGGAAGAATTGTGACGATGCCGACGATATGGTGTTTGACCTCTTTAGAACGAAGAACACGGAAAAGGCAACAGCTTTTGCAGATTTTGAAGCTTACTTTGGAATGGGCGATTCATCAACATTAAATCATCCAACTGAAGGTACCGGTACAGAGACAGCCAGCGGCGTTACTGCTACAACTAGTTCTGAGGAGTATGATAATAATGCTAATGTCGAAAAGTCATCATCATGGAGTGGAGATTTCACTACATTCCAAATTCCCAAAAAAGACACACAGTATACCAGCAATTTTGTTGATGATTATGAAGACGATGAAGGTATGTGGACAAAACCATTGGGAGCTGCTGCCGCTGCCTCAACTAATACGACTGTTGAACAGTTTGAAACGGAAAAATCGGTAGAACCGACAAATCAAACGGTTGATGAGTGTAAAACGAATGTGATTAGTAACGGTCCCTGTATGTCGGAAGAAGTTGGTGAACATGTGCCAGAAGAATCTACATCATCACTAAATCAACTGTAAGAAATAAAACACTTTTCTACTTTTACTTCTACGTCCACTTCTAGTATGCTTATTTAGATGCCAAACATTGTAACAACACTTTACAAATTAGTCTCTCTTTTTACACTTTCATGTTTCTATTTTTATTTGGTTAAACGCTTCTCTCTCAATATTTCTGTTTTAAATATTAACTAAAAACTAGTTCTATTATTTTTACTGAAGGACTGTGTACGTTTAATTTGATACCTAAACATAATTTAGTTATTTTGTTTAATTGAAAGTTTTATATTTCATTTATTTGTAGCATTTGTGTAAAGTTTTGGTTTCGGGGTAAAGCTAACAATTAAAAGTCCTGAAAATTTATAAAAATTTAGTTTTTTTGAAAAATAAAACAATTTTCGTCACAATTTAGGTTTTTGGATAAATTATAATTTTTGATGAAAAATCGTTTTTTTAAGAAAATTCCATTTTAGTTTAAAAATTTAGAAACAATATGTGATGACTCAACACAAATAATCTTTTAATAAAAAAGTTTCTAAAAGTAATCAAATTAAACGTGTATGGTTTTCATATAAGAAAGAAGTTTTTAATAAAACGAAAACAGACTCGACAACATATTTTGGCATCTAAAAAAGTTTCCATAACAACAAACCATTTAATGACAATATCATTTAAAAGTTTTTAATTTAAATTTCTAAAAAAATACTTTAATCTTTATGCAGGAATAATTCAATAGAAGACAACACTTTAGTTGATCCCCCAGCCGAAGACATCACATCGAATGCAATTAAAGAAGAAACTGTTAAAGAACTCAACAAAGATTTGAATTTAAAACAAGAAGATGATGAAGAAACAACGTCCAAGCACAAATCATCCACACACGATACAAACGATACTGAAACCACTAACACTAATCAGTTGACAACTACAGCGACTGCTAAGGAAGAAGTATCAGACACTGCAGCAACAGCAACAACAACGTAAAAAAAGAAGAAAGTAAAATTTCACTGGAGAACAAAAATCCACAAATAATACAAAAACACACAATTATAAAAAAGTCACTATCGCACATTCGAAATTGGAATAAACAATCCATTAGGTAAAGAGCAAAAACATAAAACAAATATAACAAAAACTCTTTCAAACACATACACACACACTTTAATTGTCAATGTGGTATATTTTTACTTCAACGTTTCTTTTTTTTTTTTAACAGTTTCAAAAGCATTTCGCTACCAATAACTATAGAATTTATAAGTGTAACTAATAATTTGTTTCTTTGTTTTTGTTACAAACTTAAAAATATGAATGATCATTTATTTGTTGTATTTGTATTTTAATATAATGCCTGGAACTGCTAAAAAGTTGAAGTAAAACTTACGATTGTAATAAACATATTGTTTGGTTAGAGTTTTGTTAAATAAACTATTCATATTAACCCGCCCATTCTTCCTCTTTATACTTAAATATTTAATAAACAAAACAAAAAGCAAAAAAAGAATGAAAAAAACCTAAAAAAAAACAAAATGTTATAATAATAATGTATAATTAATATTAAATATTATTTGTTAGGCTTCTTTTAGTACAACAAACAATTTGTGTATTAATAACCGCCCAAAGTATATAAAAACAAAAACAAATTATAACACTTAAAATCGAAAAAGAAAAACAACTCCAACAAATTTCTTTAACTTTAAATTAAATTTAAAAAAAAGAGAGTTATTATATTATGAAAAAAATATCCTCGCTCCTATTGCCAATTATGTTTTATTTTGGTTATTTTTAAATTATATTTTTTAAATCCTTTTGTAATAATGTTCTTTTTTTGTTTGTTTCTTATTTAGTTGAAGAAATTAATTAAATTACTTACATATATACAAACACATACACTTACACATACATATATATAAATAACTACATATTTAAATATATATTTTAGTTACATATGTTTTATACGCTTAAAGCGAAGTATGTGCTGCTCATTTAAATTAAAACCAAGAGAAAAATATTACAAAAAAAACCATCAAAAAAACTACATTTAATAATTTTTTGTTTAATAAAAACGAAAATCTTAAATAAGTAAAACATCTAACTTGAAGCTTTTATTTGGAGAGATTAAAAATTTAAATATAAATGCTGTTTTTTTATAATATTAAAGATTTTTTTGTTAACTTATCTTCTTTACACCAAAAATTTAAATTAAAAGAAAAATAAATAATTTACAATTACAAATATGTAATAAAAAACTAGTAAGAAAGAAAAAAAAATCCGCATTTTTTGTTTTATCGTCACCAAGTGTTCGTCCAAAAATATCAATATTAAGTCAAGAAATAATATTAATACTTATTAAGCATATAATGAAAGAAAGAAATAAATAAATCACTCACAATTATACTAAAAAAATATTAAAAATAAGTATAATTTAAAATATTAGTAACAACAATAACACAAATTATTAACAACTAAGAATTAACATAAAACAAGATTTTATTTTAAAACAAATAATATGCAAAATAATTTACATTTAAAATTTAATTCAATGATGGAGTTTAAATTTGCTTTTTGTTGCTAGCTTTTGATAATAGCCACCAATAATAGAAAATTTAAAATTTGGCCAAGTTTAAGTTTCTTAGATTACAAAATATTTAGAATTCTATAAATCAGCGTTATTTTAGCGGCAAATTCATTAGTCTACGATTTTTCATAGAATTTTGTGATTGTTGAAAAGCAAAGCTCTCCATATCAAACCTAGGCAACATCTATGTCCCTTTTTTTTAATGTTTTAACATTTTATATTCACAATTTTCTTAAAAAATGTTAAACAAGCATTTCGATTTGAGATAGATTCCAAAATAAAAATCGACTTGAAATTAAAAAAATCACCAAATTTAAAAAAACGGCCGTTTTTTTAACGTTTGCAGTCTGCTTATCTTATCTATATCATAAAGGGAACAATGTAGTTGGACTCACGTGTGTCTCTAGTATGAAAAGAACAAATGAAGAACAGCCTACTTACCCTGACATTCAACAGTTCTGAAGAAAGCATTTGACTGTTTTGATATTACACAAAACTTTTGACTCAATTATCTTATTGATCAACACATATTAAATTAGATTCATAGGGCGTTTTTTAGCTGCTCCGTCGGGTCCATTAGTGATATCTATATTCTCCTACTAGCTGCTTTCAAGTTTAAACCAACCACATCCTTTTTGAGGAAGTTAAGAATATGCTAATGATCACCACAAGTGTAAAAAAATGTTTAAGAATTTATCAAACTGTTATAAAGTTAAAAATATGACCAAAACATGACAAAGTTATCCCTAGGATGTGAAATATAAAGCACCGAAATACTAGGGATAACTTTAACCTGTTTCGGCCATATTTTCGACATTATAACAGGGCGATTTGTTATGTCATCTTAAGAAAAGCATATCTTGACGTCCGAGTTTAACTTATTTCATATTTTGTTGGCTTGTGTAATTTACACAATGTTGCCTAGATCTCATAAAAAAATACGTGTCAGGTTTTGATAATCAACCAATTGTGAACAATATTTCGCCGGGAGTTTATTAACTTTTACATGCTTTTTATGTATAGGAGAGGCAACAAATTCCCCGGGAGTTTTTTGTTCAGTATAGGCCTTTATATTTGAAACTAAAGTAAGTCGGTGGGCTTTATGGTCTAACATTTTGTGACATTCTGAACGGATCTGAACAGGTCTGAACCAAATTGTCAGTATTTATGTTAGAAAACGTAGAAATTACATTTGGAGGCGTATATATATCGGTTATAATAAGGTCAATGTTATTTTCAAACCTTTCATATTGGCCCCTATTCTGCATTTCAATTCGAATTGAAATTTTCTCCGTTTGGCAATTTCGGTATTCTGCATTTCGATTCGACTCTCCGCCCCATAAACAACAACTTACAAAAACGTAGGTACGATCGCAAGGCAGAAAGCATTGAAACGTAATGGAATTGCTTCTTCTTTTTCTTACGATTCAGTTTTTTGTTAGAATACCTTTTCCGATCGTTGCGTAACGTAACGTAGGTGCGATCGCAATGCAGAAAGCATTGAAACGAAATGGAATTGCTTCTTCTTTTTCTTACGATTCAGTTTTTTGTTGGAATACCTTTTCCGATCTTTGCGTAACTGAATGCGTAAACGTAATCGAAATGCAGAATAGGGGTGATAGTCTAACAATTGAAAATACTCCTAGAGAAAAATGAAACTTTCATTGTTAATCAAATGAGATTTAAGTTAGTTAGTTTGAGGCCTTACCCTAGTGCCTCTGGTGGGAATCGAAATTACGACCTCGGATCTGACAGACTTGAGAATTAACTACTAACCTACGGAGGCCTTCCCACGTTATAGATTAATTACAAATCATTTCAACTTTAGAAGATTTTCTTTTAGTGAATTTAATATAAAAGCATTTAAATTTTTTTAAAATTTCCTACATCTTTAAGATGCTTCATGTTCTAAAGATTATATACATTTGTATGGCAATTATTTTCTAAATTTCAACCTATTCGAGCTAAGGGAACAGTTTTAAAATTCATAAATGCAAGTTTTAGAATTTGTCGTTAAGAATCTTTATATATTTGCCAAATTTCGCTCTTGCGGGCCTCGATAACACATCCAAAATTAAGTTGATCGCAATCCAATGACGCTAAATTAGAGTCGAAATCATAAGAGTTGGAATCATTTCGCAGGGAACTTGTATTTAACTATTTAGACTTTTGATAACATAATATGTATATTATACATACATACATACATTTCCAAGTAGTGACCTCACGTTTATTAACCTTTTAAAATAATTTTAATCTATTAACCTTCGAAATCCTGGCAGCCTCTTTGTTCATCTTTTGGACTTATTTTTTATTGAAAATGAACTAGTCTGAGAGTTTATGTTGAGGTTTGGAGGTGCGAAGGTTAAATATTATTAACATGTTAGCAAGATTGTCGAATACACTGTATTTAGTATTAGTAGCATATACATTTCTATTAAAAATTATATGCAAACTTGATATATTAAAAAATAGTTCCAATTTTAAGTTAACTTACTAACTTCAAACATTTTGAAAAGCTAGATCTAGATCTAATAATTAAAAACTCACTTTATTTGGGAGGACCACCACTTGCAATAAACAAATTTTCATATACATATTAACCTAAATATTATTTGCAACCTATTTGATTTGTTAAATAAAATATTGAAATTTCAGAAAATTAACACATTGTAATAAACTTAAAATTGTTGGCTGTTTAAAAGCCCTGCCTTAAATTACTCGAATACATGTGGTGTCTCAATAAAAAATTTACACAAAATTATGTATTAATTATTTGTTTGTTCAATAATTGGTTAACAAGTATAAAATATATATTTTATAATAATAAAAAAAAGTACAAAATTATATTCGCATTCAATTTTTATAAATAAAAAACAAACTACAAATTATTAATTTAATTATTTGTAAAACAAAAAAAAAAGACTTTATAAATAAGTATGAAATAATTAAAGTAATAAAAACTTTGAATAATTAATTATAAAAAAAAACTAATTGGCTAAAATATTAAAGACGAATTTTCTTTGTGTATGTAGTTTTATTTAGTTTAATTTAAACATTTATAATTTATAAAACATATCTTAAAAGAAAAACAAACTAAATTGCCATTGTTTGCTTCCACATTAAAAAATATATTAAAAATAAAGTTAAAAATTAGATTTATAACTTAAAAAAGGGAAATTTATAAAAAACTAAATTAAAATTAAAACATTTTAAAGGTTTAGTTAAAAACCAATAAAACAACATAATGTTTAATTTAATTTCTTAATAATTTTGTTTTTTTGATAATTTTGCGCATAAAATCAAATGACAGCTTTAATTATTATAAAATAAGAAAACAAAAATATATATAATATCCCAGCATAAACTATTAAACATAAAAAACATTCATTTATAAATACACTACTTATATAATAAATTTAAAAATTAAACAAAAAATATAAAACAAATGATAATAATACCAAAAAAAAAAAAACATATTTAATTTAACTTGTTTTATTTCATGTCAAACATTTGTCAAAAAAAAACAAAAACAAGAAAAACCCCTAAAAATAATAATTGCAAATAAAATCATTATCAACGAATCCTTCATAAAAATTTCCATAATCATAGAAAACTGTGATAAAACATAATAAATTGTAGTTTTGCAGGGTATTGAAAATAAACAACATTAAAAATAATATTTTATTTGTTTATACTTAAAGTACCCCCCCATATCATTAATAAAAACAAAGAAAATTATAAAAAATAACTTATTAATAAAACTAATTTCCCTTTCAAATACAATCCCGCCCAGTAACAAATGAAATAAAAAATAAAAAACAATTTTCTAAATTCCTAAAAATATATTTGCAATAGTTAGTTACTACAACAAGATTCTAATAAACAAAAAACTTAAATACAACAATTTAAAAACAAAATATATGTTCAAATTAAACAAAACTGCAGTATACTAAAACAACAGAATATTATTAAAAAAAAGAAAAATAATAAAAATAATAAGCAATACAGGAATGCTATAAAATTATTGGCATTTCCTTAAAAAATAAATTAAAAAATAAAAGAAAACTTAATGTTATAAAAAAAAACAAAATATTATAAATATGTATTAGTTATAAAAAAACATATTGTACATTTAAACAAGATTTATTATAACTTATTAAAACTTATTACTGAATGGTTTCTCTATACGAAAAGAAAACTCAACTCAAAAGACACAGTTTCTGTATGTGTATTAAATATTTCATTCTTCTCGTTTGTATAACACTTTAAGTATCGGTGAATGTTACTCGAAACTCGTAGGACCATTGGCATTTTTATTAACGCACAAAAAAAAAAAAAAAACATTATATTACATTTTTATTTAATTGTCTATAAACAATTTAATTTAAAAAATCAGGACTTCTTGGGTTTAATAACAATATTTTCGATGCCTAAATGGAATGAAAATAAAATTTATCTTCCGATATGAAGGAATAATTTGTTCTATAACTTCTTCTTGATGTTTTGCTAAATAT